CCAGCAGAGACCAGCTGGCCATGCCAGGCCCTTGCTGCCTGTGTCCAGCCACCTCTGACCCAACCTGGGAGACTGTGTGGCCCCGGAAATCCCTTTGCAACTTTCCACCTAAGGGAATGGGCGCTTCCCCGCTGGGGGGGAGCAAACTCAGCCCGTCAGCTAGTAGGCATTAAGGGCTAACTGTGTGCCACTGATCTGGGCACTGCAGTGATAGCAGGGGACAAACAAGGAGCTTGCCTTTTAGTGGGAGCTGTCAGACGGTAGACATAATAAGTAAGAGAATTCCACGGTGCTTTAGACGGTGATAAGTATTATGGGACAGAAACAAGGGAAGGAGGACAACTGGAAAATCAAGTAGAGGAGTTACAGTTTTAAACCAGGAGGTCAGGGTAGGCCTCCTTAAGAACCTAACGTGTGAACAGAGTCTTGACAGAGGGGAGGGAATGAACTATGGCCGATGCCTGAGGTCAGAACATTCCAGGAAGAGCGGAAACAGTAAGTGCAAAGGTCCTGTGGTGTCAATGTGCCTGGGAGTCAGACGAGCTGGAGCACAGCCACCAAGGGAAAGAGTGGGAGGCAACCAGGGCAGAGAGATGAGGACAGGGCAGGGCAAGGAAGGCCTCAGAGGCCGTTGTAGAGTTTTGGCTACTACTCTGAGGGATGTAGGGCCCATTGGACGGTGTGAACAGAAGGTGGTCTGATCTCACTGTTTAAATCTCTGACTGCTGCTTTGTGATTGTAGGGGTGGAGGTGGAAGAGGGGAAGTCATCGAGGAAGCTGTCACCATAATGACGAGAGCCGACAACCGGCACCTGCTGGCAGCGGCCGTGAAAAGTGATTGGAGTCTGGACGTATTTTGATGGTAGGGCCGAAGATAGGACTTGAGACAGATTAGATGAAAGGAGTCATAGAGAAGGAGCAAGGGTGGCCCCCAGGGAATCGGGCCGGGCCACTCACGGGTGGCCCGGCCTCTGCTCCCACCGCCCCGAGGATACCACCTCCTGGGCTGTGCAAAGGGGGTCCAGCTGGGGTGAGGCAGGCTTGGGGGCGGGGGGGATCGGCCTTCAGGCTGGACCTGTTTGGACTCCGCACAGTGAGCTCAGGGAGAGGAGCGGCCTGGACGACACGCTGGAGAGTTACCAGCTTTCAGAGGCACGCAAGGTGGCCAGAGGGAAGGGACGGGGCAGTGGTGTGCGGGGCCAGCTCCGGGTGCCTCAGTGTTGAGAGCTGAGCAGGGAGAAGGGGCGGCACAGGCAAGGGGGGGCAGGAGGCCTGAGAAGCCAGGTGCTGGTGGGTCAGTAAGACGGGGGCTGGGGACACAGCAGTGTGTGCGACGTCATCGGCCACCCGGCGAGGACAGTTGGCATGGTGGGCGTCCGAGTCAGACGGGAAAGGTTTAAGGGCACTTGGGAAGTGGAGTCAACAGGAGTGTGTGTGTGTGTGTGTGTGTGTGTGTGTGTGTGTGTGTGTCTGTGTGTGTGTGTGTGTTCCAGAACAAGGTCAACACGCTGGTGTATTTGTGGACAGGAGCACAAGAGCCGATGGCACAGGACAGAAGGCGCTCACGGGCTAGGGTCCTCTGGCCTGGGAGTGGGGGCAGGGGGAGGGGAGGGGAGCTGCCACCTGCAGGTGCGGGAGCCCCCAGCACTCATCTCTGGGCACCTGTGGGGACAGACAAGTGCAGAGACGGTGTGTGACGAGCAGCCCCGGCACTCCCAGCTGGCTCGCAAGTGGCTGGTGGAATGACGCGGGGTCCCCCACCCCCGGGAAAGCTGTGGGCACCACACCCCCGGGCCTGCCGTCCAGTTGTGATAAGTTGCGCATTTAATCGTCCCACGGTCCGAAATCGTGCCTCGATCTTAAGTCATAGTCCAGTCTCCTTAAGTCTTGACCTTGATGTTGCTTGGATTTCTTTCTCCCCTCTGGGAAGTGCACCCTCCAGGAAGCCTTCCCGGATTCTCCCAGAAGGACGAGGTCCCCCAAACTTTCGTGGGGGGAGGCTGTCTGGCTCACACACAGGCATTCCTCTATCAGTCACCCCTGCCCCCACACCTCCCCCTGCCCAGCCTCTCCCTCTCCAGAAGCTTCCCCCTCATTCTTGGATACAGCATCCTGCGTGCCTCCTGCTCCAGGTTCTGCCCACTGCACGGTACCATCCGGTGTCTGTCCGGAGTGGGCTTGTCCCCAGGTCCCTCCACACCCCTGCCGCTCCCGCTCCACCACCCCTTGACCGGTGGCTTCCCTCGGTCTCCTTGCTCAGCCTTTCTTGAGACGCCGGTGACCCCTCCTTGACTCACTGACAGTCACTATTCACCTTGGCACTTTGGCACGCTTCCTCCTGATTCCCCCCCCCTGCTTCCTGCCACCTCCTCTCTGGGTCTTTTCTGGGACACCCCTGAACGTGTCCGCGTTCCTGAAGATTCTGGCCATTCTCACAGCAGCTCTCTCTGGGCTTCCACGTTTGCCGCCCTGGGGGTGGGACCCGGCAGGGGGGGTGGGGGCGGGTGGGTGGCGGGGGTTGCTGAGCTCTCCCTGCCTCCGGCCACGGGTCCCCCTCCCCCATCCACACGACCCCCTCAGCCGGTCCAAGACGCTACTCTCCCCTTCCCCACTTGGGGAGCCAGTTCCAGGCCCGGGCCTCCCCCCCCCCCCCGGGTTCTGTATGACGAAGGGGTCACAATTTCTCCAGTACCTTCTCCTGCCTTGTCCCTGGGCCAGAACTCAAGCCCAGTTCCGCCAGAATCCGGCTCAGGCCTCCCTTGACACCACTGAGTGGCCACCCGGAGAGGTGACCCCCAACTTCTTGGTCTGAGATGCTCCTTCCCCCCGGTAGAGGAGGCAGAGGAAAGCAAGGAGGTGGCAGCCAGGGGACCCTCACGTAGCAGATTTAAGTGGCTCGGGACTCTGTGTCCCAAGTGCCAAGCGGGGTCTGTAACTGAGGTCCCTCCTTTGGGGATGCCCACACGGTCATTCCCGTCCCCGCGGCGTGGAGCGACGGTTCGCCGCCGGGGTCTGGCTGGGCTCCTCGACGGCGTCCAGGTCCTGGCTCTGGGGCCTCCCGTGTCCCACCACACCCGGGGGCCGTCCTTCAGCTTTACCCCTTCCCCTCCGCTGGCCCGCCGTGCCCAGCCTCTTCCCCGCGCCCCAGGGGCAGCGGTCCACCAAGTCTGCTGCGAGTGCATGCCCACCAGCCCTCAGATCTGCACAGAGTCACCGCTTTGGGGACGGCCACTCCCAACACCCAGCTTTGCGCCCCCCCCCCCCGCAGCGGTCCCCTCGTGGCGGACCCTGTGTCTGGGGCGGCCCAGAACACAGGGTTTGCTGTCAGGGCCCCTCACGTGCCCAGTGTCATGTGTGTGCGTGGGCAGGGAACGTGTGCCCACACCCACAGCAGCGGGCACAGGCACGAAAGCACGGGAAACCTGGGCGGGGCGCCCCCTCCGCTCCCCCGTGCCCACCACGGGTTCCAGGAGCTGCAGATCGTCCTTACCCCGGGGGCCTGGCCAGGACCGTGCTGGAATGGCCACACGCCGGTGGCAGATCAAGGAATCCTCTTGCTGGCCTCTCTGTCCCTTCTGTCCCCAGGGCCTACAGCCCGAAGGCCAGACCCCAACCCTGCCCCCCCACCCCCACAGCTCTCCCTCCATGACCTGACCCTGCCCTCAGATCCAGCCTCTTCCCCCAACCCCCTCCCCGCCCCCCCCAACCCTCACTTTCACCACCACCACCTACCTGCCGGGTACCGACGTCTGAAGGAAGAAGGCCATCCAGGGCCTGAACCGGTGCAGACCCTGCAGTGGGGAAGGGCTGCGACATGGCCAGGAGTGGACCCCCTTAGGTTTGGGCCTGGACCAAGAGGGCTCAGTTTTTCATCTATAAAATGGGGATCGCCTTTTCTGCCTGATTGAATTGTTAGGAGATGTGTAAAGAACTCGGGCGTGCAGTGGGCCCCCGGGAGATGGAGCAGGTAGGGGTGGGGTCAGCTGCCCCCCCCACCAGCCCGGGACGCTGAGCATGGCCAAGGCCAGGTTGGCCAGCAGGTCAGCAGGCGGCACAGTGATTGACGGGTGAATCACTGTGATGGGGAGAGGACGGGCAGTTCTCCTGACACTGCCCATAGCCTCGAGCCTTTGGGCATTTCTGGTGTCACAGTGCCCCCTGGTGGCCATGCGGTCTATCCCAGAGGACAGCGCCCAGGGCCTCAGGCCTCCAGCACCTTCTCTGTTGAGGCCCAGACAGGGCCATGCTGCTGCCCAGAGTCGCAGCCAACCAGGAGTAGAGCCAGACCTCAAGCTCAGGTCGGCTGGCCCCCAGGCCCCCGCCGTCCCCCCTGCCACTGGCTGCTGATGGCACCCACCAGGGCCTGGATTAGATCTCCCCAATATCTCCCACCCTCCACACAAGATTATTTTGAATTGGCGCCGTTGCGAAGACACTTGGGTGGCATGTGGGTGGATCAGAGGTTTCTTGGGGGGCCACCCCACCCCCCTCACTGGGCCAGAGCCTGTTGAGAAAGAGGCCAAGCAAGTCTGGCCTTGAGCTCCAGAGGTGGGACCCCTCACTCCCCCACCTCCTGCTGGATCTGCTGGGGGCCTGCCCACCCCTGCGCCTCCTCCTACCGCCTGCTGATACCTTTCTCTCTGACTCCTACCCCGAGGCCTCGCTCTGGTCGTTATCCCAGGGCACCGGCCCTGGAAGGAACGTGGGGTTTGCCGGGTTCCACCTCCTTGTCTTGCTTGACAGAGGCAAAGCGAGGCCTGGAGCGGGCCAGGGGCTGGCCAGGCTGGTCACGGCAGAGCCAGAGTGGACCCGTTCCTCCCGCATCCCCGACCTGGGCTCCTTCCCGTCCCCGCGTAATGAGTTCTTAGAGCCAGGAGCACCCCTGGCCTCGCTGGTTGGCCTAATGGTGGTGCCTTAGACAGCGGCACAGGCTGTGGGTTGGAGAGGCGGCACGGGCCACACCAGGCTCCCTCTGACGACCACGTCTTCCTCTGGCACAGGGCGCTGCGCGGATCTGCAAGCCCACGTCACCGAGGCCATGGCCACGGCCGCTGAGCAGAGGGACCTGATCGCCCGCTTGGAGCAGGACCTCAGTACCATCCAGTCCATTCAGCGGCCAGATGCTGAGGTGAGCCCACCCCCTCCACCCTGCCCCCTCACAGCCTGCCCCAGGCTTTGAGTCTCGGAAATTGCAACTCTGCAGGTTGACCAGCCCGGTCCTCAGGCAGCTGGTGTCCGCCAGCCCCCACAAGGCCCGCGGGGGCTGTCACCCACAGCCTCTGAGCATTGCCTGCACACGTCACCGCAAAGGCCAGGTTCCGGGACGCCGGACCACAGGGCACGGGAGGCAGGCTTCCTGGAGCTGGCACAAGGCACCCTGTGTCCAGGCGCCGGCTTGGAACTGGGCCCTGGGAGCTGTGGGCTCACCCAGCCATCCCACAGCTAGAGGACTGAGGCCGCAAGAGCATGGAAGGCTGGGACACAGGGCCCTTGGAAGTCACTCTGCTCTGTCCCCCACCTCATTTTATAGATGAAGAAATGGGGCTCGGTGAGAGCAGCCGGGCCGGCCCAGGTCACCCAGCAGGCTGGCGGGCAGGGCCGAGTGGCCCCGTGACAGCACCGCCGCTGAGCTCCCGCCTCGGGGTCAATTTAAGGCCCAGCCTTCCCTTTGGCGGCCCATGTAAGGCACCCTCTCCAGGCCTCTCGTGGCCACCAGCGTGCCCAGCCCTGCCTCCAGGCCGCCCCGCCTGGGCCTTGCCCCCCATCTGTTCGGTAGCACGTATGGAGGAGCCTCTTCCTCTCCCCTGCAGGGCGCCGCTGAGCACAGCCTGGAGAAGATCCCAGAGCCCATCAAGGAGGCCACTGCCCTGTTCTATGGTAAGCACGGGCTGACTGTCTCCCAGGCAGCGATGCGCGGGGCATGAGCAGGGAGAGGAGAGGTGCCACGGTCTGAGCGCTGATCCCTAAAGGGCACTCCCCTTCCTCAGAGGTCAGGGTCCCCCAGCCCAGCAATGCCGCAGCAACCTAAACGAGGGGGCTGAGTCCCCCCTACTTGCCCTTCTGTGCCTTAGCTTGACATCCCCTCCTAGGACCCTGACCCCCTCTGCCCTGCCAGTGGCCTGTCGACAGCTCCCCCCGGGAGGCCTCAGCACTGAGATGCTGTCAGGGAGCCCCCTGTGCTGCCGGGGAGGTGGCCTCCTCCGGTCTCGGTATTGAGGCGGAACCCAGGGCTCCGGGGCCAGGACGCTGGAGCGGGGGTTCTCGTGGCTTCCCGGCACCTTCAGCGTCCCTTTGCTTCCCCAGGAGCCGGGGCCCAAGTCTGACAGATGCAGGGGTCTCAGACTCAAGTACAGAGGAATGAGGAGGGGGCTTTGGGGCCTGACCCTCGGACAGCGTGGCCCTCCCCTCCCAGGATCCCTGTTCCCTGTCGCACCTCTTCTGTTGGCCACCCTTCTGTTTCCCCAACCGCCCAGCACCTTGTGCTCAGACACCTATGCCTCTGCCCTCATGGCACTTGGCCAGAGCTCCGTCAGAGCTGGGGCTGCTCCAGCTGAGGGCCCACTGGTGGGTTCTGCCTCCCACCACCCCAGGACACTCTCCCCCTACATCCTAGGCCCCTCGGCACCAGCCAGCGGCACCCTCCCCGAGGGCCAGGTAGACTCGCTGCTTTCCATCATCTCCAGCCAGAGGGAGCGCTTCCGCGCCCGGAACCAGGAGCTGGAGTCCGTGAGTCACGTTCTTCCCTCCCTTACACCCCTTGGACCTGAGGATGCAGTGGGGGACACACAGGCTTGGAGAGGAGGGGGGTGTCACCTCAGAGGGGTTAGATGTGTTCCGTGCGGTCTGGGAGGGCTTCCTGGAGGAGGTTATGCCACGCTGGGCTTTGAAAGGACAGTAGAGGAGACTAAGCGGCCAACAAAACCAGAAAGGCTGTGCCCTAAGACGCAGAGTGGCCTACTGGCAGGCGGGGGCGCTGCCCGGGGACTTAAGCAGGGCAGTGACACTGTCCAAAGGGAGCATAAGAAGGGCCACTCGGCAGCCAATTCGGGACAGAACTTGGCCCCAGAAGATGACTGGGGGGTGGTCACCATTGTCCTGGAAGAAACATCTAAATCAGGTGGGGGACCGGAGACAAGAGCAGGTTGGAGAGAGCGAGGTCTTGGAGCCCTGTAAGGAGGAACAATCTGGAACTGTTGAGGAGCTCTGTAAGGATGGGGAGAGCGCCAGGCTGAGGGGCCTTCCTGGAGGCGTGCCCTGAGGTAGGGGTGGTCTGCAAAGGTGACCTTTACCGTGAGGCGCCTCCTCGTGGGTGCTGCTGACCCTTGGATGGCGACTGCGGGGCCAGCAGGACGGCTGTGGTTCCGGAGAGGGGAACAGGAAACGAGAGTGGGGTCGGGGAGGAAGTGAAAGGGGCACGAGCAAGGAATATCCTGGACACAAAGTCCCAGGCCAGGGCGTTTCCCCCCCCCCCCCCCCCCCCCCCCCCACCGAGGGGGTGGACCCTGGAACCAGACTGCAGAGGGCCCAGTGACAGACCAGAGGCATACTGGGAGGTGGCACCATCCTGGCCTTGGGGACCCTGCGGACTCCCCTCCCCACAGAGCCAGCCCAGGTCATCACCGATCTTGTCCAGTGCAAGCAGGAGCCAGGGAGAGTCACTGTTTGAGCTGATGAGGGAGTTTCTAGACCTTTCCTCTCCAAACCCACGGTTGCCCCCATGGGACTTTCAGGCTCGGGCCAAGGGGAGGCCGATGTTCAATGAGCGCCCACTGCGGGTCCGAGGGTGGGCCCGATCCAACAGGACCTCCTGTGATCTGGGCTCCGCAGCTAGAGGCTTCAAACAAAGATGGTCGGGACCGCTCCCCTCACAGCACGGGCTGGAAACACTCTCCTTGGGGACCAGGGACAGCCGCACAGTGGAATCCTATGCAGCCCTTAACAGGAGGTCTTAAAAATAGATTAAATGGGAGGAAAAATGTTTTCTAGAATTCCACCTTTTGCTTTAAAAATCCAGTTTTTTTTAATTAAGGGACTTAAAACTTTTTAAAAATTGTGGCAAAACACACATAACATAAAATTTACCATCTTAACCATTTTTAAGTGTTCAGTTCAGGGGCATTAAGTACATTCACGGCATTGGACGAACATCACCACCGTCCATCTCCAGAATTCTCTTCGTCTTCCCGAACAGAAACTCTGTCCCCCATTAAACACTAACCCCACGTTCCCCCAGCCCCCGCTAGCCACCCTTCTACTCTCTGTGTCTGTCATTTGACTACGCCGGGGACCTCACCTAAGTGGAATCGTACAGTATTTGTTTGTGCACTGGCTTATTTCACTGACCATAATGTCCTCAAGGTCCATCCATGCTGTAGCAGGTGTCCGAATGCCCTTCCTTCCTGAGTAGTATTCTGTTGTGCTCTAGACCAAGTGTTGGTCATCCATTCATCCATCAGCGGTCCCTTGGTTTGCTCCCATCTTTTGGTGCCTGTGAACGATGCTGCCATGAACACGGGCGGACCAAGATTTCCTCGAGTCCCTGCTTTCAGCTCTTGCCCGGTAGATACCCAGAAGTGGGATCCCTGGATCATTTGGCAATTCCATATGGAGCCATCCTGTTCCCACATACTTTTGAATTGTCCTGTTTGAATTGTTAACAGTATGAAGGAAACAGCGACTTAAGCATTGGAATAAGCTGACAAATAAGGTCCCCTCTCGTTTGCTCCTGGATGGGCAAACATTAAAATCACATAGTGTATGATTCCGTTTATACGAAGTGTCCAGAATAGGCAAATCGAAAGAGACAGGAAGAGGGAATGACCGATGGGTTTGGAGTTTCCTGTTGGGGTAATAAGGATATTGTGAAATGGGATGGTGGGGATGGTTTCGTCACACTGTGCCTATGTTTTAGAAAACTGAACCGTATACTTGAAGACGGTGGCGTTTATTATACAAATTACATCTTGATGGTTTTTTAAAGGTTGATGGCACCAGGGGCGCCTGGGCGGTTTAAGCGTCCGACTCTTGATTTCAGCTCAGGTCATGAGTTCGTGGTTCATGAGTTCGAGCCCCGCACCAAGCTCTGCGCTGACAGTGCGGAGCCTGCTTGGGATTCTCTCTCCCTCCCTCTCTGCCCCTTCCTTGCTCATTCTCTGTCTCTCAAAATAAATAAAACATTAAAAAATATATAGCTTTATAGGGGCATCTGGGTGGCTCAGTCAGTTGAGTGTCCGACTTCGGTTCAGGTCATGATCTCCCAGTTCTTGGGTTCAAGCCCCAAGTCAGGCTCTGTGCTGACAGCTCAGAGCCTGGAGCCTGCCTCGGATTCTGTGTCTCCCTCTCTCTGCCCCTTCCCCACTCCCTCCCTCTCTCTCTCTCTCAAAAATAAACATTTAAAGTATATATATATATATATATGTATATATATATATATACTATATATAGTATATAGTATAGTATATATACTATATATAGTATATATATAGTATAGTATATATATAGTATAGTATATATAGTATATATAGTATAGTATAGTATATATATATAGTATAGTATATATATATAGTATATATATATAGTATATATATACATATATATAGTATATATAGTATATGTAGTATAGTATATATAGTATATATAGTATATATAGTATATATATAGTATATATAGTATATATAGTATATAATATATATAGTATATATAGTATATAGTATATATAGTATATATATAGTATATATACTATAGATATATAGTATATACATACTTTAAGTGTTTATTATATATACTATGTATATAACATATATATAAAACCTTATAAAAGGTTGATGACACCATAAACAAACAAAACATGAAGAAACCTGACCCCAATCTGTCTTCTGCTCAGGGTGAGTCACACCCTGCAGGAGGAGAAGGGGGACTTGCCAGAGTCTAGAAGGTCAGGGAGATAGCCACAGGCAAAGAAGGGGCTCCAGGTAGATGGAGGAATACTTGTGCCAGCCTGGTGGCCTCTCCACCCCCCACCTCCCCTTCCACGGCGGGCCCTGCCTGCCCGCCCACCTGCCCACTGCCTACCTGCCCTCCTGCCCCCAGGAGAACCGCCTGGCCCAGCACACCATCCAAGCCCTGCAGAGCGAGCTGGACAGTTTGCGTGCCGACAACATCAAGCTCTTCGAGAAGATCAAGTTCCTGCAGAGCTACCCGGGCCGTGTAAGCGCCCTCCCCGATTTCAGCCCCAGGTGTAGGCCCAGGCAGGGAGAGGGGTCAACGGGGCCCTCCAAGGCCAGAGGGTTGGAGACAGTGACCTGCTGGGCAGCACTGGGCATAGGAGCCCTCAGAGGCCATCCAGCCCACCCTGCCTACCGGCGGTCCTCCCTAAGCCGGGGAGAGCCCCCCACAGCGGAGCCTTTGTGCAGGTGCATTCATCAGAAGCAGTCGGGAGGTGGTGAGGTGTTACAAGGGGGGGGGGCCCACCCATGGGCCCGGGTGACCCCTCCAAGAAGTGGGAGTGATCTCCTAGTTGATCTTGGGATCCAGGGATTTTAACATGCAGGATAGGCCCTGGGGAATCCATAGGTTTAAACTTACATTCTTTAAAAAAAAAAAAAAAAAAAAACGAATTGGCTCCAATATCCCCAAAAACAATCCAGAAAAGCAGAACAAACACCTATTCCATTCTGAGCCTCGGAGTGCCCTCCCTGGCTTCTCTCAGCCCCTCGGCTTCACACGGGACCTCCTCATGCGAGGAAACCCTTTGTGACCATAGGGAGACAGAGTGGCCTGTGGAAGGGTCCCGGCGGGGGCCACCCTAGGACAAGAGCCTCAGCCACGATTGCCCACTGTACCTGTTGGAACTGTACTCAGGCCAGCAGAGGGCGCTCAGACTCTGTGCAAACTAGCGCCATGTACCCAGTGCCCCCGGCTGGGGCGAGTGTGATCATCTCACCTCTAAGGTGCCCGCCCATGCCCCCCTGCCACCCTGCACGCTCCCCAGCGAACCCCTTCCAAACCCACTTCCCTGCACTGGTCCAGCCCTGCCTGTGCTGGGCGTTCCAGCCCCAGACTGGGCTTTTAGTTCCCACTACCTGCCCAGAGTCAGGCGGCCCAGACACCCGTGGCAATGCTCCTAGACATGTGGCCCCAGCCTGCTGTCACCCAGCCCACTCCCAGCTCTAGGGTGCGGGGCCCCTCTCTCGCCTCCGCTGTGCTGATGAGGAACCGACGCTCCTGGGTGATTCTGCCAGCCGCAGAGCCTTATCCCTGGCCTCCCTGCCGGGCCCTTGGTGACTGGGTCTCTCCTCTTCCTGCAGAGTGGCAGCAGTGACGACACAGAGCTGCGGTACTCCTCCCAGTACGAGGAGCGCCTGGACCCCTTCTCCTCCTTCAGCAGGCGGGTGCGTGAGCCCGGCCTCAGAGCAGGGCAGACGTCCTCGCTGGCCCGGCCACGGGGGCTGCAGGGAAGCCCGGAGGACCCACCAGCTGACCGGGCCTCAGCCCGCCCTCACTCCCCACGCCACCAGCCCTGGTCTGTTCGCTCAGGCCCGGCCTCGCCCTGCACTCGGCCACACGGCCCCACACACACCCCAGACCACCAGCATGGCCTTCGTGCCTGCTTTGGTGCCGCGGAGGCCCAGGGTCCACGCCGGGCAGGCCAAGGGCGCCCAGAATATCTGACGGCTCTGTGGGGATGCGTGACAGCGAGTGGGTGAACCCCACGTGCATGCTCGGGGGTCAGGCAGACAAGCACAGAGCTCCCCATGTCAAGGGGCCTCCGGGAGGCCCCCGTCTCTGGCTGCAGAGACCCTGCCAGGGAGAATGGGCCTCCGAAGAGGGCAGAGGGAGGCAGCTATGGCGGGAGTTGCTCACACAGGGGCCGGGTGAGCCTAGATGTGCCGCTGAGTGGAACGGGACACCAGGGAGGCCCCGGCAGCCCCCTGGGGTTCTGTAGGAACGGCAGGGCACGGTCCCTCTCTGCGGCACGCCGGGGCCTGTGGGACCCTCGGGGTCCTCTCCTCATCATCTCCCCCCCCCTTCAGGAGCGGCAGCGGAAGTACCTGAGCCTGAGCCCTTGGGACAAGGCCACACTCAGCATGGTGAGTCCCCTCCTCCACGCCCAGCCGAACCTCTGACTCTGGGCCTCCAAAGACACCTGCCCTCCGTCCAGTCTGGAGAGGCCCCAGGGACCCCACTCACCCCTCACAGGCCCTGCCATGAGTGGCTGTGGGACCTAGAACAGGGTCCCTCCCTGTCCAGGACAGCTCCTCTTGGTAGCACCATTCATGGTAGGTTCTGGAATGGTGCCGCAGGGGGCGCCATTCCTTAGCACTCCTGGGGCCCGATTTCTCAGCCCCACTGCCTGCCCTCCCCTCCTCTCGCTGCCGGGGTCCCTCTGTGCAGGAACCCAGGGCGGCCCTTCAGGGCTGGATGAGGCCTGTCCCCTCCCCACTGCACACCTTGTTGCTCCCCAGGGACGACTGGTTCTCTCCAATAAGATAGCACGCACCATTGGCTTCTTCTACACACTGTTCCTGCATTGCTTGGTCTTCCTGGTGAGTATCCAGGCAGGCAGCCAGGACTGCCTTCACCACGCTTCCCGGACCTCCAAGGGCAGCGGGGTCCCTATTATCGTGGCCTGGCACCCTGGGCCAACCCTAAGCCACACCGTCTACCCTTGACCACTTCTCGCCCCTTCTCTCCCTCTGGCTGGGGGTGCAGCCCAGGTGCTTGCTCTGTGGAAACAGCCTGGCTGACTCCATCCAGGGGCCGGGCCTAGAGGGGCTCGGGGGCCTAGAATGGCCACTGTGGAAGCCTGAGGCAGGCAGGAAAGAAGGTCTAAAAACTCTACTAAAGGCCAGCCAGGTGGGCTGCAGAAGCAGGGACATCTTGAACTGAATCTCCTCAGATGCAGAGTGATGGTCCAGTTAGAGGGCACGGCCTAATGATGTCTGCAAGTCTGCTGAGTCAGGGAATCAGAGAGGGTAGGGCGTGCCTGCGGAAGGCTCCGGCCTCGGGGACTCCCGTCCCCAGCAAGGCCCCGGTCAAGATGGCCCTACATGGTTAGCCTGGGCTCCAACTCCCACCCCAGGGCCAATAGGTTACAATGTTAAGGACCGTGCCTCCGTGTCCAGGCCCGCCTGGCCGTGTGTGACACAGGTGGGCACAGGGGCATCTCTGAGGCCCTCTCGCCCTGGGGTCTGGGCCGTGAGAACCGTCAAGTGCCGCTGGGAAGCCAGGCCCAGGGTCTGGGGGTAGACGGCAGGAGTGGGGGTGAGGCAGGACAGACGGCTCACTGTGTCTCTGCCTGGCCAGGTGCTCTACAAGCTGGCGTGGAGCGAGAGCATGGAGAGGGACTGTGCCACCTTCTGCGCTAAGAAGTGAGGACATCACCCGAGTCCCACCACAGCCCTGCACTGAGCCCCCCAGCCCCACCGAGCTCCTCCCGTGTTCCCCACCCTCAGCCCCTCACCTGCCCCCCACCCGTGGCTCCCCAGCACCTACCCTGTCACATGGTGCACACCCCCTGGGGATCCCCATGCCCCCCTCCACACACACACAAGCACTTCTCTCCTTTTTACACTCGGTCTCAGCAAAGGTTTCTGTCCCCAACAGGTTCGCTGATCACCTGCACAAGTTCCACGAGAATGACAACGGGGCGGCTGCCGGTGACTTGTGGCAATGAGTCCCCGGGGGCCCCCCCGACACGACAGTGATGGCTGCATTCTGCCCCCCCTGCTTGTTCAGCTGCTTCTAATGATTTAGACTTCCCTGGAGAATTCCCCTAAGAAACCACCCACCGGTGCCAGAGGTCCAGGTTCCCCCCCCACCGTGCCCCCTTAAAAGAATGTCTTAGCCATATCAGGCCCCCTAGGTCCAAAAAGCCCCCAAGGCCCAGCCAGGCTAAGGTCCAAGGGGCCCCCTCAGCCCCATCTTAGGGGCGCCACCCACAGCCTGGCCATCAGGCCTGGTGGCAGTCACCTCCCAGTTATGATACTGATGGAGTCCTCACTGATTCTGGCCATGGTTAATCCAGCTGGGGACCCATGGGCCTCTCTGTGCCAGACTCTGGGATCCCCTAGGGCCCCCCTAGGATCTACCACCACTCCCCAAGAGATAGAGGGCCCTTCCTAACAGGCCAGCAGGCTTTGAGTCCCCACCCCACCCCAAGAAGGGGAGGCCCCGGCGGGCACGGGATAGTTTTCCATGACCTCCTTCCTGACCCCAGACCCACTGTGATTTTTGCTTTCTTCTTTAGCAAGCTATTTTGGCTTCTAGGCAAGGACGGGTCTCCAGTGAGCCCCTGGGCTTCAGGGTCTTCAGACCCAAGGACTGGTCCAAGGGGCCCAGGTGTTTTTCTCAGCCAAGCAGAACTGGCCGTGGGCCATCGTTGCATGGCCACCTTGGGGCCACTGGCCGATCCTCCTAGGTTAGATTTGCACCCGCGTGTTCAGCTTTGCACATTTCAAATAAACACATGGTTGCAGCGACACTGGTGCCCACGCTCTGTGACTCCCGGGGTACAGGAGGCTGGTGGGTGCCTGCGGCCACGTGCCTGGGAGCTGTGGCCAGACCTTCCAGCTGCTCTGCTCGTTTCAGGCATGGCCCCCCAGGACGTGGGATGTCTCTTCCTTTTCCCATCCCCCAGGAATTCCGTGAGTGGGTCCAGACCTTTGCGGGAACCAAAATCCACAAAGTCTGAGTTCTCTTGAGCAGATAAGCAACCCAATCAAGAAGAGAAATCTCTCTTTAAAAAAAAAAAAAAACAAAACTATCTGTCAGGCTGCATTTGGATGTGTGACGCGTGGTGCATGTGCGATGTCAGCTTCTGGGGAATCCCTTTCTGTGTGCCCTGGAGCCATGCACTCTCTGCCACTTTCCCTTGGGCCCCTGCTGGCCATGCCCACCAAGCCTGCTGAGTACCAGCTTTGCATGGGGACCCCCTGAGCCACAGGTCCGCCCCAGCCCAGCTCTATTCATATGGGTCCCTTCCCACCCAGACCGAGGGGCCTCCTTTTGGTTTGTGAAGGCCCCACTGGCCAGCTGGCCTCAAAGCTGGCTCCACACCCAGCTACCGCCCCACAGTTCACCAGACCAGAGTCCCCTGTACCATCATTGTCTCCGTTTTAGTCCTGGACTCTAGAGTTCAGGACCCTGGGGTCCCACCCTCAGCACCTGCCCCATCAGACCTTCCTCCAAGGCCCCAGAGGCCCCTGCCCTCAGGGACCCCAGATGATGAACCTGTCCTCCCTGACTCTCATTCCTGTCCCCATAACAAAGCTGCTCTTGGCCAATCACCAACACCCTCCACCCTCCTTCCACTGTTTCCCACTGGTTCCTCTTATGGGTCAGAGTCACCAAGCAGCCGGCTCCTCCTCGCTTCCTCCTCCCTGGAGATCAGAGCAATTGTCCTGCCCAGGGCTCCAAATCCCAGGACCCTCCCTGGCCGATGACAGCCCATCAGCAGAGCTCAGCTCACTACTTGGAGGAACCAGGTTAGTCCACGGGGGCCAGGACCTCCCATCTCCCAGAAGGGTGGAGGGGGACCATAGCCAGGCCACCCACACACACTCCCGCCGCTGTGCCGGCTTCATTCATAGACCTCCTGGTCACCAGCCAGGAGTACAGGCCTCTGCGCAGCTCCAATCGATAGCTGGTCCACGTCTAAGCTTTCATTAAGTGTCTGTTAGCCAGGTCCTGCTGAGGGGGCAGCTGGTCTGGGTGTGGAAGGGAAGAGACCAGGTACCAGAACCTCGGATGACACCTGACTTACTTCAGCACCCCTGTGGAGGGCAGTCCAGGGCTGGGGGGCAGAAGGTAAGGGCTCCAGGCCAGTCTCCACCTTCACCAGCCCAATGCTCCTCTCTAGGCCCCACCCTTCCCATCCACAAGATTGGGATAAAAACCTTTCCTTGCCTGTCCTGCTTCCCTGGAAATCAGAGATGTGAAATGGCTTTGAGAAAGGTTAGAGGGCTCTGTACAAAGATCAGAGGTCATTATGGGTGGAAAAGGACAACAGATGGAGGCACTCGCGGCTAGTAGGGAGGCCATGGCCGACCACAGAACTGCCAGAGGTGGGGCTGCGGAAGGGTTAGTAAGGGCAGGGAGAACTGACCTAACCACCCCTGCAGGGGTGGAGGGCTTGGCACCGGAGAGGAGGGGAGAAGGAGTTCCAGCACCCTCCTCTCCCCGGGAGCAAGCAATAGGTCTGATCTCTGAGCTGCCCTCCCACTCCCCCTGGACCCCTGCTAGCCTCTTGGAGGCCCCAGCTTGCGAGGGGTCAGTCCATAATTGCTCTGCAAAGACCAGCAGGAGTCTGTTTTCTTAGCCAGAGTGGTCTTGGCCCTAATCTCTGCCTTGGGCTTTGGGGGCTGCAGAACCCAGCAGGGGTGAAAAAGCCAGGGCTGTGTCCCACCCTCATCAGCCCCATTTGACCTCTGAAGATCTCTCCGGGAGCCCTCAGTCTCCCCATCACTGTGAAGGTGCATAGATGGGGCCCTGCTTGGGTCTTCCCGCCCTCTAGCCCTTGGGCTATTTCCGGCAAGGGGAGGGCGGAGAAGAGAGGGCGTGGTGCTCGCCCTGGGGATTTATGAGAACCAGACGTCGACTTCCCCTGTTGCGACATCTGGGCCTCCTCGAGGCTCCCATTGTTCCCGAGGCGGAGGGGTCCAAGACGGCGGCGGCCCCCGCTGGAGGCCCATCTCCAAGGGGCGCCTACGCCCCCATACACCCCACTATTCAGGCCACCCACCCGGACCCCACCCGCCGCGCTCCCGGGGCACGCTTCCGTGAGGGGGAGACTTTCGCCTCAAAACAGGCGGCTGCCGGCCAGTTCCTAAGTCCCTGGGCCCCAGCACTCTGTTGCCGCCGCCGCCGCCGCAGCAGCCCCACGGAGGCTAACACCAGCCGCGGGCGAGGTTC